CCACTGAACTGCTGTTGTTGTTTTTCCAACATGTAACATAAATGCATATGAGATTACAATATACATGTAGCAAATTCATCTCTTAGTTTGTAAACAAAACAAATCGTTAAGTGCTAATTAGGAGGTCGAGTTCTGTTTAGCACCTAAACCGTCTAGGGTTTTATATGGCAGTTTTAAGAAATTTCTCTTTTTTCTTTTAATGTTTCATTTAACATGTTTTTAGAAGCATATCAAACGACCTTTAGAGAATTAACCGGCCACATAAACCGTTTAGAAAAAGAAAAAGAAAAAACTTGTTGAACATTTTTTTCAAGCGATATTATTAAAAGAGAGGATTTCCTAGATGCTAATAGAGAAGAAAATGACAATGATGCATCAAAATGTGTTTCCAAAAAAGGAAATTTTGATTTTACGTACGAGACGGATGAATTTGTTTTTGTTATGTGTACGCCTAATTTATCACATGACAATTCGACTTATTACACGTTAGCATGGCACCCTAAAAAACTAATTTTTAAACTCGAATTCCCTCACCTCAAATATTTTATAAACCAAATATTGAGATAAACAATTACATCCACATATAAAAGAAAGAATTGTAATAAAAGAACATTTAAGTGGACGGTAAAATCGTCCAAAAATATACTCTCTCCATTTTAAAATATAAAAGGTTTTACTCTCTCCATTTTAAAATGTAAAAGGTTTTAGCTAAAACCGCGGAGTTTAAAAAACTAATTTTCTTTTAAAAATACTCCCACCGAGCCAAACTATAAAATGTTTTGGAGGGTTTTTTTGTTTTAAAATATAATATATTTTGACAATTCTATATACTTTTAACTTTATTGAATATTGTGTGACTACTAGTATTTTGCATTTTTTTATGATTGGTTAAATTATGTTTATTATATATATTAAATGATACTTTTTAGAAAATAAGTAGTTTCTTAAACTCCGCGCTTCTAGCCAAAATATTTTACGTTTTGAAACGGAGGGCCGGGGTATCATTTAATATCTAAATAAAAATAATTTAAACAATCATCAACAAGAATGCAAAATATTAGTGTTACACAATATTCAATAAATTAAAAAGCAAAACAAATTATATTTTGAAACAACAAAATACCTTCAAAACATCTTATATTTTGAAACGTATGGAGTATTTAAGTAACATCATTATATATTATTTTCATTTCCATTTTCCTTATATATGTATATCAAGGAAGCCCAAAAATTTTCGACCGTCTAGACTACGCGGGGGGACTAGACGTCTTGACAAAGTTTTTAGTCTCTTTTATGACAAATTTTTGAAAATGTCATTTTCCAAATGCCACTTTTCAAAAATGCCTTATTTCTAAAATTTTGCAAAAATACAACTTTTTCAAAAAAAAATTCATTATATCATTTATGTTTGGATTAACTATATTGTATTAGGGTTTAGTTTTGAAGGTTTAATGAGTTTTAGAGGTCAAAACATTT